AGAGTCACAAAAGTGCATTTGTGGACAAGGACTTCCTATATACCAAGCCAGTGCTCAGGCATAGTAAAGTACTAAAAGTACTAGTAGGTTGAAATAATGATAATATATTATCATGCTTTTTACAACTACATGAATGTACTATTGCTGTGTGATGTATTACTATTACTGAAGGCTACTCGCCATACCAATACCAACTAGATTTTTAAATCTTAAAATGAGTACCAGTAGGGTGGACATTAGGTATGGCTGCACTATTTGTAGCAAACCGTATAGAAAACTATTCCACTCGTATATAAAACAGGTCCGCGGCTCGAACCATAGTAAAGGGACCTCTGGCTAAAACGTCGGGTTCAGTGTCGGGCTTGTAGCCGAAAACTAGCTTTACTTTGTTGCCTGGGTCAACTTTGCTAGCGAGAGAGAGAGAGAGGCGTTCAAAGGCTGCTTCAACAGAACTTCGGAGAAAAACACGAACATAGTGTACAGTCAAGTCTTAATAGCTTACTTACAACTGGGCTACACTGCCCATGAGGCTACATTCTTTAGGGCTATGCCTGTAACACTCTGCCTATTGCCTTCATATTAAATAAGTTTTTGAATAATAATTAAAAAAAATATTTCTTCACATCATTTTGTGGGCCGCAAGTAGAGATGACATGGGCCGCGAGACTGAGACACGGGCATTAGAGCCTCTTAATGCGTGTTTTGTTTGGGTTTCCACCGGCGTGGAATTACCAAAAATAGTGAGGGAATAGCCTAACATATGAAATAGGAAAAGACCTCCGTGTAATCCCTTTATTTCAACAAAGTAACAGTATTCTCAATACCACCCTTTTAAACGGTAACTGTAATGGAATACAGTTAGTCATATTTTGTATTTTAAATATGTAACGGCGGTACATGTATTTCGTTACTCCCCACACACTGATTATGAGCGCATCTATAAAGAAAAATCGTCACACCTCGCAACAGGTGAGGACCTCGTCAGTAGCTATTTGGACCCAGACAATACCTAGGAACTACATACCTTCCCCTTTTCTCTTTTATTTCTACTGCTAATAGGAACTCTGAAGAGATTTAACAACCAGACACAAGTTGGTAAGTTGGTAATAACCTCTCGTAGTTCTTCAGTTTCTTTTATTTCTGTGTTTTTTTCAATTTTTTTTTATTGTGAGGTTAAGAAGAAGTATGGCTGAAGTTAGCTGAAAAGAATTGCTAGCAAATATTTTCATATTTAGATAAAGTCTAAATATGAAAGATTCAATAAAGTCTGGATTTTTTAAAGTTGTGTTTTATTTCAATTTCAATCATACCTATAAT